CAGCCGGCAGTCTGCAGCAGCGGATCAAGGTGCTCCAGGTGCTGTGGGTGCCCAGAGCGATTCCCCGGGATGGATAGTGGGGCCCAGCCATGGTGTATGTGCCCTGCTTGCGGGGGATGTGGTGGGGACAATGCTTGCAGCAGGGGAGCGCGGCCAGAGGGACCACAGAGCTCCCACGGGGACTGTCTTGGGGGCCTGGCTCTGCCTTGGTGCTGCGGTGGCCCCTGGGCTGTCCCCGGGGGGTGCATGGCAGTGGGTACCTTGGTGGTGTGAGCGTGGGCTGGACACACCTGCAGTGTTTACTTGCCAGGGAGCAAGTCCTGGAAGGAGTGAGCCTGTTTGGGAGGGGGTGGGTGACGTGCTGGAGGGCGGTATAAAGGCCAGGGTGCTGCGCTGGAGGCTGAGGCCGCTGTGCTCCCCAAGAGCTTTGCCTGTCCCTGTGCTGAGGTGAGAGCCTGGTGGGCATGGTACCTCTGTGGGGGTGGCCGCATGTTCCCCAGCTGGGGGACACTGGGGTGTCCAGGGTGGGGACTGCAGGAGGGCTCGTCTGTCGGCCAAGGAGGGCAGAGCCAGGGGTGCTGGCCGCCATGGGGGAGCAGGGTGAGGAGCAGAGTGTTGGCCTGGACACCAGCTGCCCTCCCTGCAGCTTCACTGGAGGGTCTTTGCCCACCACTGTTTATGCAGCTCCAGTGCTTGCACCTGGGGCTAAGGGGTGGAGGTGGCATTTGGGATGGCATTGTTGCTCCGCCACCCTGCAGGCCCCCAGCTGGTAGGTTTTATTGGATGTGATGCTCCCCACCACGGGACATGGCACCATCCCCGCTGGGAGGGGGCTCAGCCTGATTTGGGCTTGGGACATGAGCCCTGAGGGGCACGGGCACGGGGCAGGGTCTGCAAGCACAGGGGCTGTTGCCCCCACCAACATGTCTGAGCACTGGGCAGCATCAGGGGCCCCCTGTCCTGGGTGAGGAGTGGAGCTCCTGTGGCACATGGCTTTCAGCATTGAGCGCAGCCCCCGTTAGCACACAGCCAGCGTCACCATGGTAGACTATTCCCATGTCCCCAGTGGGATGGGGACACATCGGGCAGCTCCAG